GTGTCAGCTGCTTGATTAGGGAGGGTGGGCAGCGGCTGCGGGGGAAGGTGCCCGGTGGGCAGCGACTGGCCTCCAGTGCTTGGTCCCAGCTCACTTCTCCTGGGGGGCTGGAGCCAGGGAAATTCCTGCAGGCAGGGGACTGTTTAATCTCCGGGTGGGGGAGGGAAGCGTGGCACTGCTCTGTGGCATTGGAAGGTGGCTGGAAGAAGCGGGACCATACGGACGGCCAGACTGGGTCAGATCAATGGTCCATACAGCTCAGTGTCCTGTCTCTGACTGGGGCCGGTGCCAGGTACTTCAGAGGGAATGAACAGGACAGTTACCGAGTGATCCATCCCATCGTCCACTCCCAGCGTCTGGCAGCTGGAGGTTTAGGGACACCTAGAGCATGGGGCTGCGTCCCTGAGCATCTTGGCTAACAGCCATTAGGGTGACCAGATGTCCTGATTTTATAGGGACCGTCCCGATATTTGGGGCTTTTTTTTATATAGGTGCCAATTCCCCCCCCCACCCCGGTCCCGATTTTTCACCCTTGCTATCTGGTCACCCTAACAGCCATTGATGGACTTCACAACATCCCCTGGTGAGGAGTTCCACAGGTGACTGTGTTGGGTAAAGAAATACTTCCACTTGTTTGTTATAAACACGCTGCCTGTTCATTTCATCGGGTGACCCCTGGTCTGTGTGCGACGTGAAGGAGTAAATAACATGTCCCTCTTCACTTTCTCCACCACCAGTTATGATTTTATAGATCTCTGTCGTATCCCCTCTTTTTCAATCGGAACAATCCCAGTCTTTATCATCTCTCCTCGTACAGAAGCTGTTCCATCACCTTGATCATTTGCGTTGCCCTTTTCTGTACTTTTCCCAATTCTAATATATCCTTTTGAGATGGGGCGACCAGAGCTGCACGCAGGTGTGGACATACCGTGGCTTTATATAGAGGCATTATGATATTTACTCTCTAGGACCTAGGGGTCACAGTGGACAAGAAGCTGGATATGAGTCAGTGTGCCCTTGTTGCCAAGAAGGCTAACGGCATTTTGGGCTGTATAAGTAGGGGCATTGCCAGCAGATCGAGGGACGTGATCGTTCCCCGCTATTTAACATTGGTGAGGCCTCATCTGGAGTACTGTGTCCAGTTTTGGGCCCCACACTACAAGGAGGATGTGGAAAAATTGGAAAGAGTCCAGCGGAGGGCAAAAAAATTATTAGGGGGCTGGGGCACATGACTTATGAGGAGAAGCTGAGGGAACTGGGATTGTTTAGTCTGCGGAAGAGAAGAATGAGGGAGGATTTGATAGCAGCCTTCAGCTACCTGAAGGGGGGCTCCAAAGAGGATGGAGCTCGGCTGTTCTCAGTGGTGGCAGATGACAGAACAAGGAGCAATGGTCTCAAGTTGCAGTGGGGGAGGTCCAGGTTGGATATTAGG